AGTGGGTTAATTCTCCATGGTATACAATGGTGTTGAACTACTTAGCAGAATGAGTTGTCCCACATGTTACGGTAAAAAAGCCAGGTTGAAAGTCTATGCATTTGCAGTGTCTCGGCACTACCAGAGATCTGAAGGATAGGCAAATGGGAACGGAGCACCTCCTTAGCTATCCTCCAATAGGTAACGTACAGCATTATCCTCTAAATTTATTTTACGTAACACTTGTTTGGATTGCCTGTAACATTATTTCGGTTGTATGGCACTTATTTACTGAGCGCTAAATGGAGCATTTTTATACCGCTACTCTCTGTGAATCCGTTTAGTAAAACTACTTTGATTCAGACTAAGCTTTGGGGAGACAACTCAAGAAAAAATGAGGTGAACTTCCATTTGCTTTTGAGAGCATGAGAAGTTGTATTGCAACCGCTGGGAACAATACTACATTTGCAATAATTAGTCTGGTTTTTAAACCATTAAATCTGGTTACTTCTAATTAACAGACAGCTAGAATACTTCGACCCAAATGCGTTTCGTGGATGCGGCGTGACTGCGCAACATAAAGAGCGAGACGCTGTTGTGAGCCTTAATAACCGCTAAAGATTCACTTAAGGATTTCACTGCTCAAGCTAATGAGCAGAAAGGATGAATCGTTGCGTGTCGTAGAATACAAACGTGATGCATTAATTTTAAGTCAATTTGTGGAAACCCACCGTTGCAATAAGCACATTATTCGCTCTTCAACCTGCAGTGAACGACAGTAATGCTGATAGAATGCCATAGGACTGCTTTTTGTCCACCGAGCGCCAGACTTCAATTGAGCTACATGCTCATACACATGATAGGGATGAATGACGTCTTATTCTCTCTCGAAAATACACTCGCAGATTCGACATTAAGGTAACCATTATCACTCAACTGCTAACGGTTTGGTCCACTAATGATGAAAGTAACACTGCATTCCAAACTCCACATGTGACAGAAAATACGCAAAAACTTGCCAGCTGAATTATCCATACGTTTGATGGACTCCTGGCCACAAATAAACAAGATAACACTGAACATGCATGCTTCATGTGTACCCCCGTCAGCATGCAGCCCTGCTCCGGGAAGCTGTCAAGACAGTTTGACAACAGAGGCATACTTAGGTTATCAATCACTTGCTGACGGAGTACTCTACACTCCAACCCGGAATAACCACGGGAGCGGTGTTGGTTGTTCGACTAAGATCGACTGGCTGCCGACGCAACAACTGTCGACATAGAAATTGGTCTGAATCCCGTATTCCCAAACACGCATCTATCCTCTGACGCCCACAGCTACTTGTTTAATAACGTTCAATATCTTCTCTCAACGTCAGCCTATCTTCGTACTCGACAGGCTTCAACGTCCTAGATCTTCGTCAAGTTCAGCAAAACATGGCTGAATACTGAAATCACCGATACTGAGGAAGCAATAACAGGTGTGATACTCCTGTGAAACGGTCGACTCAACGGTGGAAACAGGGTACTCTTGTATTGGCTAGCTGACCTGCATCTCGATATTATGGACGATCCAGAAACGCAAGTTGTCTATTCTCCCTAGTGTCGTCTTCAAATGAAACGTGCTAATGTGTGTTCATCGCCTTCTAATGTACACTCTGGGAATGGATCGCCGCCTGGCATGTGCTACAAGGCTAGTCCTGGCACGGTCGTACAGTCACGTCCTTCTGGTGGGGTACTTATACTTACAGCCCCTTAAAGTACCTGCTTCTCTCAGCACGCAATTTAAAGCGGACTCTAAATAAATAATTGCCGACGTACGGCTACACAATCATGTCACTACTCCAACGCGATTCTGAATAAGCTGACAGACCATCTGCTTCAGATATTGTGCTCATCAATAAGAAACTAATACTCCATACTGCAGGCATTGATGCATAAATGCATAGACGTCAGCCAAAGGCCGAAAAGATTGTACGCCTGGCTTACAACTCTTAGCTCAGCGGTTCAAATCCGTGTGCGGATTCAGCCGCCCGTGCGGGCCTCCTCATAGTATAATCAGCCCACGCGCGTGGCAGCAACTGGTCGGTACAGTGTGTCGGAATATTGCGGATGATCTTCTTGGCTGTAGCAGTCATGCAACGCTGCTCTTCCACTACATCTGCCACGCAGAATTCATCTGTGAATACAATCGGGAAATCCACGTCGTCACAATTTACGACATCCTGTCTGATCTCTTTCAAGCAATTAACTGGTCTTATCTAGCCGAACAGCGTCCTTATGTCATCTGAAAAGAAAACGTCACTCCACTCATCGAGTTAGTGGCAAAGGTGTCAGAAACTTAAGTCTGTTGTCTTAAGGAAACCGGATTCTTCTCGAGGAGCCGGACACGAAAATGCATGGAATAATGGATTCAGCTTCTCTCGCCTATTAAGCCTATCCGAGGGTTTTGTCCTAAGGTGCCTACATAACAAAACGAATGATTCAAAGTAGTTCATGATGACAAACTCTAGCACGAACAGAACGTGGAGACGAAATTCAGTGTTAAGCCCAAAATGCATTACATGCACGTCAATAATCTCCGGAGAGGGCAGCGCGGAATCTCAGTTCTACGTGCAGCAGATGATCCGGCGCAAACTACCAAATGGACAGCAAACACGCTTCAGTAACATTTGGTCCACAATTTTCAGAGTGAGTCGTCACCTCATCCGCTTTTGCTACAGCTTCCAATGCCCCCAGATTTAAGCTACGCGTCCTTCACTGCAGCTGATGTCGTGGGATGACCGCTGCCTTGAGGGCACACAGCTCTCCCGGAGTGGGAAATAGAAGACCCGAGACATTAAATACATCTTCCTTGAATAGCAATGAACCAGTAGTTTGATTCTTTCATCGATGTCTTAAACAACACATTCACGCACGATGTGAAAAAGCGGAATTTTTACTTCAATTTACAACAGTGACGCAGCTCGTGCGCAGCTCTTGAACTGCCGTCCAATAACTCTCCTCCTGCTGCTATTGAAATTCTGGCAGGTATTATCTCAGAGACACATGCTGGGATACCTTGAAACTTGCCATGTAATGGGGCCACAGTTGTACGGATTCCGCCAAAGTCGATCATGCACTACAAAGCTCGAATAAGCTGGACGGAATCTGTCGATTTCGGGGTAAGGCTCGACTTCATCTACTCGGACTCCTCAAAAGCGTTTAGTCGCCTAGATCCCATCAATTTCTATTGCAAGGTTCAAATTTATGGGACCAGTAACCTTGGCTTAGGTTTAATAAGTAACTACATTTAGTGGCAGCTGAAGTTGAGAGTTGAGAGGTTTTCGGTGGAATACCCCTAGGGTTGGTACTAAGACCACGTACATTCCAATTGTTTATCAGCGACCTTGCTAGCGTACTTCCGTCGAAATTCTTACTATTTGCAGATGATTGTAAGATCTAACACGAGATAAAGACAATAAACGATCTCACGGCACTACATAGAGCTCTCGGGAGTGTCGGTGTGCGCACATACCAGAACGGATTCCAGTTAAACCTGTCGAATCGCGAAGTAATGGGTACAACTCTTCAGTGAACACATGAATATCGAGTTGGGGGACTTTAACTGCAGCGTGCCGCCCGGAAAGTCGATCTCCAAGTAATTGTGCAGATGATCTTGGCTGCTCGAGACAGGCCGAAAAATCATTATGAAAAGCCAGTTAAATTCACGGCCTTATATAGACAGCGTTCAAAAATTTCGAGCCATCCAACCTTTCGCATATACTTAACGTCTGCCTGAGGCGTCATGATGGGGATGCTATGCAAATCTGGAGTTCTTGGTGCAATTTGATGCTGCGCTTTAAGCTCCTCGACGTATAGCGAACGAAATAATTAGAGCCTCGCAGCACCTCCCTGACAACTCAGCTTATAAGCGGTGAGCTTGTAAGGTGGTGAATAACGGCATTCGCGATGAGAACTCATTATGTTACACGCTAGCCGCGATCTGCTTCAATTTAGCCATAACAATCACCTGAGGAGCAACCAGCTCCAAGTGACCAACTCGACTTGGTTTTCAACAGAACTAATTCTAATCCTCTGTATGCAGAACATAGAACGAGTTTCCAGCTCACGTTCTTTTTGTCACTAATTGTACGCCTTTCAAAAGAAGACTATGCGACACGCTCTCCCATTTCTATTACATCATATGGTCCGTTTCAGTCGGAGTGCAAAACAACGCGAAAAGGCGAGACAAGCTGCATCTGTGTGGATAGCTTAGTGGGTCACTTAGTACTCGATTTTCTCACTAGCTTCCTGTAACTTTTTACCTTTGGTTTGTAATCCGCCCTTTGGACATCCTATGAGACTTATCAAGCACACATCCTTTTACCGGTTATTAATCATCGTTCATTTGTTGGTTTTAAACTTTGTTGACTCCACAAACTACAGATGATGGCCATTGAGTCCCATATATTCAGTAGGTATCACCTAAGATTCTGTCTCGTTGTCTAGGCACTGTCTACTAAAACTTCTCCCTGAGTCATGAACCAGAGCAATCATACCTACACAAGGGAATCTGCGTATCAACGAAATGCTGTTTTACGTGTCAGTGACACTTATATTATCATAAAAGATCCACTTCTTCTAGCATGCTTGACTGACTGGTTAGTGGAAATGGTACTTTGCGTCATTTGTTTGTATCAAAACGTATCTTGACTAATTGCAGTTCAGAATCATCTGAGCACCTACTGGCTCCTCTCACGGAACTTGAAAATGAAGTACGAACTACGGCTTCGCACATCGAGGCGCGATCACATGGGATCACATGGGATATGTTTCGAACCACTCTCACCGTGCATTTAGAAAAAGGGTTATTTGCATCCGGGCCGGATAAAATTGTATCAAGTTCCTCCATCATTTACCCTGTGAAGATACCAACATGGTAACTCTTTTCCCCTAGCGAAACAGTATGCCTGTCCTTATTCCAATCGGATTAGTTCTCTGAATGGCCAAATGTGCGCCAATCCGCCTGTCAGCCCGCCGGTCTGTCTGAGTGTCCATCACGGAGCCCGGGGATTTAGCGTTGCCAAAACGGCATTCAAATCGTTCGCAAAAGAGACGCAATCGCAAAGCATCGATCATTATTTCTCCACACAGTGACTTGTGCAATCGCTTTTGCAAGTCAACTCCGAGGAGTGCACTGTGGTATCCTGCTATTAAACATGTTCGCGTTGAGAAATTCAATACCGTCATAGCCTGGTAAGTTGTACTATGTTGACACGTAACCATAGATATTATTAGAAAATATTCTGGATTGTTCTTACTGGAAGAACAACCTGATTTGATGCATGCATTGACAGCCAGTAGTTAGGGTAAGGTGGAAAAACATGTAGTTCTGGCAGCTTGCGTTTCACATGTGGTGTTTATACAGGACTTTTTCCTTAGCACCCAGGATAGTAAATATCACTATACCTATCAACATTCGTAAATGTCGGTTTCCATTTTATGTAACCAACTTCAAACTGTTGCAACCGTCACAGTTCAGATGAATCCGTTCCTCGTTACTTAATGAAAAGTCAAATTCAGGATAAGAGCTTAAATGCTATTCGATAACTTCTAGACCAACGGGACCGCTTATAGCGTTAACAAGTTAACTCCCATATATTTAGTCTCATCATCGACACAAGCAACGTTAATAAACTCACAACCTGATATGTGCCATAGCTTCAATCCGACTAACAGATTCGCAATTTCTAAGTGGAGTTGATTTGGATCCTGGTTTCTGTTACAGCATAACGATACTTATAATCTACAGGTTGTAATAAAATAAGTGTAGGATATTAAAACAGATGTAAGCTCTGTGCAATTAGGAGTTTTGATATTGCGCAACCCGAACCAGGAAAACAATAAGCTCTGCTACGTGTTACCTTTGTTTCCATGTAAAAGTATAAGTACGAAGAAACTAATAAGCATAGTCATTGGTGTTAAAAATGCTGAGAGCAAATGAACGTTTTCTGTTTTACTCGTAACGTTTCACTCCAAGATCGGTTCCGCTATCATTTGCGCTCATCAATTTCGGACTGAAAGACCACAACTAGTACGCAGACTTCAGGATTTAGGCCGGGCTCCGTACTCCTGGGCCACCAAGTCGCACTATGTAAATAAACAAAATGCTCAATGACTCATTGTTGAAATCATTTTCAAAGAAGAGACAGTGTAAATAGCTTGTGATGTGAAATTTTACTGTACTTTGAATGGCTTCTGATTGAGACTACTCGTCACAATACATTCATACCATGATGGCTTTAAAATGGCTTTTACGTATTGGCAAACACTAGTGTTTCGTTGTTGCGCTTCTGATAAACATAAACTAATAGCCACTAACGAATTTAATGTGGGTGGATTCTCTTAGATTTTCAGTCATTAGTGTAACTGAAATGATGGTTAGACAGGCACAGGCCCACGTACATCCTTAAATAATTGTCGTACAGATTGATCTGGGTCACTACGAATCCAGCTTAAAACAGTTGAAAAGGCTAATTTAAGTCTAGAACATACTGGCTAATCTTAAGAGACGCAGCCTGAAGAATGAAGTAAGTCTGTGCATGTAAATATGCTTATCATTCTTGGCCTGCTCATTGAGGCATAATCCCGAATAGTTGACCACAAATGTCCCGAATTGTGTAGTTGGTTCTCATTGTTGAATGTTGACGCTAGTTAAAAGTAAGGTTTTGTAGTGCCCACCGTGTGGCTGGATTCCGACACGCGATCTGTGTTGAGATCCGGGTCATTCGGAGCCCAAGGACAGTAGCCAAACTGGTGCTTCCGTGTTGCCTCTATCATTAATGATGTCCCCTGACCGGTTTCGCCCTCGTTTGGACTCAACTGATGGAGATAACATGAGCTGGGGTGGAACTCGGAGCCTAGTGATTCACGGCTGATGCTTTGATTACTGTGCCACCAAGATCCGCGAGCCACGCTTGACACAGCGGTAAGGAATTCAAAGTTGAATTTAGAGTACGCGTCGTGTGGTTGGGCTGAGACACAATCTCTGTTGAGACCTCGGTTCATTTTGGAGTAGATCTCGATCACATCGACCACAAAGACGGTATCCGAAATGGGTGTTTAGGTGTTGCTGCTCTCAACACTGACACCCATGACCGCTTTGATCCTCGTTTGGACTGATCTGTTGGAGATATCTTGAGGTGTATTGTAACTCCGATGCTATTGGTTCACGGCTGACACCTTGATCATGATGCTTCCAAGATCCGTGAACAACGCTTGGCACAGCGGTAAGGAATTCGAAGTTAGGTTTGGAGTACCCACCGCGTCGTTGTATTGCGGCACCCAATCTCTGTTGATACCTTGGTTAAGTTTGAATTAAACCTGTGTCACCCCAAGTACCTCGAATGCTACTCCCAGCTCAGACGATGTCTACCTGAGGTGCACAAACGAAGACGAAACCGGTCATGCAGTGTCACTGCCGGAAGAAGCAACCACGAAACCCGAGCCGGCAATAGTTTGTGAACACACCAGTAGCTGAACATTTGTTTAACGTTAGGCACGCAGCTTGCGCCATGTGTAAGAAACTGAGTTCACAAATGATCCTTTACTTGCACGACAGTGATAAAAGGACGTAATGGAAAGAGAACTCAGCGAACTTTAAGCCTAAAATCTAGCTACTATCAACAGGAACAGTGTTCGAGGGCTATGTTGTTTTCGGAGGACTAGTAGGTAAGGTATCTGCCCACTGTTCACAACCCTATCCTTAGTCGAACAGGGGAATTCACATTAATGTTGAGTTCCGAAAATGGGAAATGTCCCTTACTTCATTTATTAATGCCTATATCTGTCCAACTAGAAGTATTTTCAGTGACTTTTATATAACCGTATAAAGTCAGCCTTAGTGCGTTTTATCAAAATGGAATGACTGCTATATGTTGTTGTCGTATCAAACTCATTGGGACGTGCACTATATTTGGGGCCACGCATCCACCACTTGTAACACGAATGCATCGTGAGCCTTGGTTCATTGTGGCATGCACTTCGGCGGCGTATGAGTGTTCGGAGTTTCTGCGTGTCCACAAACTGACCGTAACTGGGAAAATGTGTGGGCATTGACCACATGTGGACAGGTTTGCGAGGTAACCTTGAAAGTAGATGAAAATTAGGTGTTGCCCGCCCGAAAACTGGACAACCACGACTCTTTTCGATGTAATCTCATCTCATCAGGTGGAGACAGCAGGCCTTGAACCTACGACCATTCGAATGGTAGCCGAAACTTCTACCCCCTTGGCTACCGGGTCACGATAATCGCAGTAACTACGGTGCACTTCAATGTGAATCATGGTCAATTACATTGAGATTGCGCGTCGCAATCCAAGCACCCAACGTGTAGTCCAAACTTGACTCTCAACCTTTGAAAATAGTTGCTTGCTTACAGCCGATCCTTAGGGCATGGCTTCAGGAGGGAATTTGCAGATGCATAACCGTTGTGTGCAAAGACAGAAAAGTATGGACTTGTTTGCACTATTTAACATGGTGTGGACTTATTCCATCCAGATAGAATGAAGATATAGAACAACGATAACGTTACAACTGGTAACGAACCAAATATGTCCGTCGACTAAGGCCTAACCGTGCACTAAATCAGTGGACCACATAAATTTTTACAATCTAGCTCGTGAGACTAGCCGTTGTCCTCTACACAGTTCGTAACTGGCATGGCAGTGGAAGATGAGCCGGGCTATATCATAGTCAACTGTCAATCAAGCGGGTCCGCGGCTGTCACCCATGGCGACGTGGCACTAGCTGCTGGCATCCTGAAGCCATGGGGCAGAACATGGCAGGGGTCGGCTGCGAGGCGCACCAATGAGGACACCTAGAATGTCGAAACGTCCGCCTCTGGTGCTTTTCCAGACTAGCCTAAGTCTGCTGATTGGGATTGGCGATGATGAATTGGCTGAACCTAGGGACAGGTTGAAATAGTTTGATTTAAAATTGTAGCAAGTTGAAGGCGTTCGCCCCTTATCAGTTTAAACCGGACTTACTTCATAGTATATTGTGCTCAAGAACGCGGTGTGCTCTGCATTGTGCCTCGAACCATGAACAGAGAATTCCATCCAAACTCGATGTGACGCAAGACTCGGTTTAACCTTGCTGTCAATTGCATACATAGCGACTGGTAATATCAGTTGGGAACCGGCAAAACTAATTAGCATTTTGTGGCGTGTTGCTTAAACTATTTTAGATTACTACTATATTTTGTTTTCGAAGCCCATTTTAACTTTCTCCAACTGTAGAGTGTGAACCAGAAGTAAGCTTCTAGTGGAGTGCGTTGCAGATTGTGGTTAATAATTAATAGGTATTTCCTGTTATTTTCTTTCTAGTGACTGAACTAACTGAGGTTGACTGTAAAAAGATTGGCTGTCCAAATCTCGATCGCCTGCTGCCATGTGCGCACATAACTGATAGTTCAAAAACTGCGGCATGCTACTCGCTAGTTAGAATGGCGATTTGTATGAGCATTCTGTTACTCTACTTTTCAAATTGGGTAGTTTCCTCCTGGATCATTCATATCAGAGGTTAATTTCACAAATTAATAGAAACACAAGAGAATAAAGACCGGATCATAACAAGGCTTTCAGTCGTAAAAGCAACGCAAGTGAAAAGGAACATCGATCGGCAAACTCAACAGCATGCATATATAGAGTAACATTTTAGTCGTAAGTTCCTGTTCGAGATCTGAATAGCCGTCTATGGATGACCTTTATGAATCACAACGCCGTGACTGAGAATAAGATCAGCGTCCATCGCATCCAATCGTCCAGCAAAAGAAACACAATCAGAGATGCATTCAATATGTAGGACGTCTCAGCATCACCGGCAAACTGGTAAAACCTCCCGCGGTAGTTTGAAGTGAACAAAGTGACATCGAAAAGGCGAAAGCTAGATGACCTAGATAGTTAACCGCAATGCATAGATAGTCAGAGAAACAATGTTGAAGCCGTGCCAGACCCCTTGCGGAAGAAGTTTGTAATGCAGCCGTCCGTTCAGCCCTCCAATACACTTATGAAACCTGGCCCATCAGGCCGACAGACGCAAAGATGCGCGTCACATTCGATCCTAGCTGCCTTCACAACTTATCTCATTTCTGTTGGGAGCATCACGTGAGCAATCAGCGTGTTCCGCGTCGTGTATTTGGTGCAAGAAGAGTGAGTGAACCGCTCAGCACCATTATATCACGCACCAGGCTCCTA